CCAAGTGAATGGGTACTTGAGGTGTTGTCAGTACATGGTTTAAAGATGCTTCATTATTATGTTGATAAATGGGTATCCATATTCTATTTAAACTTCTTAATTTAGTATTCTATCTTTTAAGGTCAAGAGCTCCAAGCATCATGCTCTCGTGCTTGCAACCTCAATCATAAATAATTTACCTATATCATAATTCTAAAAGGGTTTTTCAACATCAATTAATATTATAAAATCATGCATTGGTTAATTAGGCTACAATAAGCATTAAGTATAAAGTAAAATGATTAATTGAATAATGTATTGAATGAAAATAGGGACAATTACATGAGTACAATAGTTATCTCAATCTCCAAAAATAAAGACTTAGTCGCTCTTGACTAAGAATTACACAAGAAAGAAAAGATTTTTGAGTGATCTGTGATTATAGAAATGCTTTTTGATGAAACTTTCTATAATCTCTCTAAAATTGTGTTCATGGAAACTTCAATACAAAGACCCTTTAAAAACCCTAATTTATAATATTTTAAATGGATTTTTGTCCGTGTATGCTCACTTAGAGCATTCATGAAGTTTACTTAAGCGATCTTATTCAATCCTTTTAGAGGAAATCAATGACATGTCTCGCTTAGATGATGGAGGACCATCCTTGAAGATACATGTGGAATCCATCACTAGGTCCATGGCTAGGAGGATAGAAGAAGAGGAGGAAGCTCACACACCAAGAGACACTCTTCTCATGATCATAGAGTATTAAGTACTCTCCTAAGCCTCATTAGTATAGTGATTATTTTGCTTGAATTTTATTTCCCATTTTTACCCTTGTATTTTGGGGTACGTATGACTTAGAATTTATTTTACTTTGTATTTCCTATTTTGCCCTTGTATTTTGGGGTACTTAGAATTTAGGGCTTTATTTTCCTAGTGATATAAGTGTGTGGCCGTGACAAAATGGGTCTTTTGGGCTAAGAGGAGCATTGGCCCAAGTGGAAGGGCACCTAGGTTGCATACTCCCATCATGCACCTAAATGTAGCTTCACTTAACCTAAAAAGATACCATTTTTAGGATTGCATGTGCGACACCTTTAGGGTTGCATGTGGGTGTCATTTGGAGTGCATTTCCTTCTCATTTTGGGAAGGAAGGATCATCCAATGATGACCTAGCCGTCACACCTCCCTAGGGTTATGACCTCACCCATCACTTATAAATACCCTAGGGAGCACCTCTTGTAAAAACTTTGAAAATCAATATAGAGCGAGCCTTTTGAGCCTTTATATTTCCTTAGTCTCTCTTGGTCTATTGTTGACCAAGAACCCTACCTATCTCCACCTTGAGAGAAAACCCTAGAAATGGCCTTCATCACCCATGGAGTGAGCCAAACCTTAGAGTACCCTTTCAAGCTTTTCATCAAACACCTTTCCCTCATCATCCATTTTCATCCATCCATCCAAGAACACGCCCTCTTGAAGAGCTTTGATCCAAGGATTCAAGGAGTCCTTCCTATTGCTCACATTTCTCCCTTTTATGCAACAATGATTCCATCATTAGAGAGCCTATCTTGGTTACTTTAAGCAAGTTCGTGCTCGCTCTAAACAAATTCATACTCTCTTAGAGTGAATAACTTGTTTGCTTAAATGAGCTAGCATCATCTTCTAGGCGATACTCTTTAACTTGTCTCGCTCAAATTGAGTTATTGGTTGCTTTAAGTGAATTTTGGCTCGCTAAAAGTGAGCACTCCACTTGCTTAAGCAATCTGGCATCTTCTTCCAAGTGTAATCTCGGACTTGCCTAACTCAAAGTGAGTTGTTGGTCGCTTTAAATGAATTTTTGCTGGTTCAAAGCTCGTCCAATTGATCTTAGAGCAACACTGAATTGTTTTCTTTTGAAACTTGTAGCTTTTAAGTTCCATTCTCATGTATCTTATCTCAATAAAGAAACTATAAAAAAAAAATACCTAATATCAAACAACTACATCTAAAAGTAAAATTACTCCTAACTAAGTGTTTTGTGATCAAAAACAAGATTTTGAAGTATAAGATATATTTAATAATTACCTAAATTGAATAAAAATTATATACATATTTGACAATTATCTGGCATAGTGCATGTATACAAAGTTGACACATAACAAAAAAAAAGTTGTTTGATAAAATTATAAGCTACTAAAATATGTTTTTCTCTCCAAATATATACACAATAATATTTAAAGGATATTGTATAAAATCATAAGGTAAAACTGAATTTTAGAATGAAAAATTATGAATTATTTATAATGTTTGAAAATATTTGTTTTTAAATGACAAACTATATATATAAGAAAAAAAATTCAATATGATAATTAAAATTATATTAAAAAATATTTTTAATAAAATAATAAGATGAGAGTTGGTATTTAATACATTAAGCTATCAAAATACTTTAATATTTTTATATTTTTAGTTTTATTTTTTTTTGTGCACAATCTTAAAAAAATAACATAATATTACATATTTTATTTGATTTTTTAAATAAATCATTTTAAAAACCCCAATAATCGAACCAAACAAAATAGTAAAAGATTGATTTTGCTTGATTCAAATTTCATAAATCATTCAAACTAAATTCCACTTAATTTTTTTATTTGGTTCAAATGATTTTTAAGATAAAAATCAACAAAATCACACTACACACATTTCTACTATAAATACTTATTTTAAAATTGAAGGAGCAAAAATAAATGTATTTCAAATTTAATATGGATCAGGTATAAGCGAATTCTTACTCTCTTAGAGCAAACAACTTGCTTGCTTAAATGAGCTAACATCATTTTCTATGAGATACTCTTTAACTTGTCTCGTTCAAAGTGAGTTATTGGTCGCTTTGAGCGAATTTTGGCTTGCTCAGAGCGAGCACTCCACTTGCTTAAGTGAACTAACATCTTCTTCCAACTGTAATCTCTGACTTACCTCGCTCAAAGCGAGTTTTTGGTCACTTTAAGCGAATTTTTGCTCATTCAAAGCTCCTCGTATTGATCTTGGTCTAACGTTGAGTTGTTTTCTTTTGAGACTTGTAGCTTTCAAGTTTCATTCTCCTATATCATATCTTAACAAGGAAACTATATAAAAAAAATACCTAATATTAAACAACTACATCTAAAAATAAAATTACTCTTAACTAAGTGTTTTGTGACCAAAAACAAGATCTTGAAGCATAAGATATATTTAGTAATTGCCTAAACTGAAACAAAATTGTATACATATTTGACAATTATCGTACATAGTGCACGAAAATTGACACATAACAAAAAATGTGTTTTTATAAAATTGTAAGCTACTAAATGTTTAAATATATACATAATAATATTTAAAGAATATTTTATAAAATTATAATTATTAAATTGAATTTTAGAATAAAAAATTATGAGTTATTTATAGTGTTTGAAAATAAGTTTTTTAAATGAAAAATATATGTGAAAAAAATATTCGATATGATAATTAAAATTATATTAATGAAATATTTTTACTAAAATAATAAGATGAGAATTGGAGTTTAATATATTAAGTTATCAAAATATTTTAATATTTGTATACTTTTAGTTTTATTTCTTTATGTACGATCTTAAATAAATAATATAATATCACGTATTTTTATTTAATTTTTAAATAATTTTTTTAAAACTACAATAATCAAACCAAATAAAACATCAAAACATATTATTTTTTTCTTCAAATTTCATAAATCATTCAAATCAAATTCCACTTAATTTTTTTATTCGTTTCAGATGACTTTTAAGACAAAAATCGAACAAAATTACATTACAAACATTTATACTATTAATATTTATTTTTAAATTGAACAAGCAAAAATAAATGTATTTCAAATTTGATCTGGATCTGGATTTACCTAAATTTGTTTTTTTTTTTAAAAAAAAACATATTTTAGAAAAAATGTAATACATGAAGATGATATGCATTTGAAAACGATCTTAAAGGCAATAACAGGAGAAATATCACATCAAAAGCAAAAATATTTGAGTGGTTGGTTGAAGCTTTGACACAAATTCACACCTTCGTTGAAAACGTGATTGATGGTTTCACCACACCGTATGGTTTGTAGATTTTTCTTCTTCTTTCTTATTATGTATCTGTTCCTTAATTAATAAATAAATTATCTTTCAATTGTTTGGTTCCACCAAAAATTATCTACTTCGCATGAACCAGATTTTATTAAAAATGGGCAAAGTGCAAGTGGGAGGGATTGTGGATTGTGTGGTGAATGAAAACGATAACACGCCATTTCAATTACAACCACTCAAAACTCTTGGAAGGACCACCACCACTTGTTTATAATCCATCATCATCACCACGTGAATCTCGTGCATGTTGCTCGTGAAACCTCATTTTGGATCATCACTATCATTCTTTTTTTCTTTAGTCTTTGGAGAATCAAAGTTGTCTCTTTTTTTTTTTTTTTTTTTAAATGGATCAATTAAATTATTATTTCTATTTATTTGTGTGATGAATGGAAGAACAAAAACAAATTTAGAGCCAATGGCTAGCAATTCAAACAATCCATGTGCTTTCATGATTTGATTGGAATTTGGAAGTCGGTTTCTATTTTGCACCACTGAATTATTTTCAACAGATTCTTTTGCTTTGCCTTTTCTCTCCACTTCCAAAAAACAATTATATTTATAAAAAAAATGCAGTTTTAAATTATATATACAAAGTCGTTTTATTTTGATGTGAGATTAATCAAGCACATGCATGCTATTCTTATAGTCATATGATCATATCATATCTGTATCTTATATGTTTTCTAGATTAAAATTTCGTACCTTCTAGATCTGCCCCAGTATCCATCGGTTTACATTTTAAATTCATCCTTTTCTCCTTGTTTGGCAAATAAAAGAAAAAAAAAATATATATATAGAGAACAAGAAGGTATAGCACAATAAGTTGTATGAAAAACCAGTGATTTAATAAGCATATAAAATTCATCAGCAAACATAATAAAAACTGAAAGATAAATATAAATATCTAAACTTGCTTTTAATTCCCAAATTGTCAGATACAGTTGCATTACAATTACATAGTGGTCTATATGCTAATGCTGTACTGTTGGAAGGTAAAATCCATCCACTTTCAAGTAATATGATAGAGCTCTAAACCAAAAATAATCAAGGTAAAGCCCTACCTAGCACTGAACATAGTTTGTACTTGTAAAAAATAAAATCATCTGCATACAAAACACATATATATATATTACAAGTTACAACAAATATTCTCTAATATATGATGAAGTAGTCTCTTGTATAAGAAGGGGTTCCTACTATCCTTGCTTGTTTGACAATGCATCAGTAGCAGCACTTGCAGTGATGTGAGAAACCATTGTATTCAGCTACGCCACGTTCTCAGACGTCTTGTTTGAGGTTATATGGTGCTGCATTCATCACCCTACATGGACAAAAACATCTGACTCAAATAATCTTTCATCCACTCATGATGATACCATATACCAAGCTTGTTACTATGAGTGATAATTTAAAGGTACAAAATGTGGGAGCACATTTGACATTCCTATCCTCTTCATGAAATTTTAAACTTCCAAAAATGTGGAATTATTTCATCTTCTTCCAGCAATGTAGATAAAAATATCAAATATGCACCACTGACAACAAAAGTTGAGAACCACACAAATGGAAAATCTATTTCATATAACAAAGCAACATGTTTCAATTGGTTAACTGATGATAACTTTTTACAAGGATAATGTAAAAATCATTTTTCTTGTTGAAAAACAGAAACCATGTTGTATATAGACTAACCTTTCCTTGCGCTTCTCCAAAAATCGAGCCAATGATGCCTTGCGAGCCTGTGGCACAGCTGCATAAAAAGATAAAATGCCAATTTCATTTAGCAAATCCTTCTGATTCTAGAATCATTAAATACAAACACTTGCAATAATCTAACACACAGATAACTGTAGACTACAAGAGATGCATCATTTATTCACTATAATCTCCCCAAGCAAAAGAATGTGGAGAACTAAAGAAACATTAAGTAGCAAGAAACTACATTGCTACCATACCTGAGGGTAACATTGTGGTCGCGTTGACAACTTTTGGAGTCTCAACTTTGTCATCATTGCTACTTGAACCACTCCCTGACTGTGTACCAGTATGTGAAGAAACAGATAAAGGACTTGAAAGACTAGAGCAGGGTGGCATATTTATGGGTTGACTTACATGCACACCATCACCTACAGCCAACTTCAAGCCGTGCACCGGAACATTGGACTGTGTGTGTGCCATGTTAGAAGCAGCTGATAAGCCATTCCCAGCCAACAGCATGATAGCTTGGGCCTGAAGAAAGACGGTCAAATTCAAGCTTTAAGCATGAGATGTATGCTCCACTTTATACATAAATTGTTTATTTATAATTGATGGAGCAAAATCTGAGTGAAATTACCTTCTCAGGGGAGATATCATCAAAGACATTCACAGTGCCCGCGTAGAAGATTGTAAGTTTGGGAGCAGACACAAATGGTTTCACACTGTTACTTGAAAATAATAGAAATTAGAGACAAACAAATTTGTTTACTGCAATAAAATCATTTCTCTAGATATCGGTTCAAGCTCAAAACTAAAATTACCATGTTTCAGTCAATCCAGCAACAGCACCACCGACAGGAAGAATGGGATGAACTGCATGAGGCACTGTAACAGGTATTCCCCCAAGTAGTGGTTGCTTCACACCAGCACCATTCATATTCTGACCAACAGTTGCAAAATGATTCTTTAGGGAAGGGTGTGCCATGGAAACTGAAATTGCTTGATTGGGAACTGAAAACATCTTTACATCATGAGGGCGATTCACAGAATTCACATCATGTTGCACATGATATGGAGTCAGGGAAAAATGAATGCCACCTTGTCCATCATGATTGAAAGATTTCTAAATAGTAAGGAAAATATGATCAATGGAAGGAAAGGGAAAAAGTAATCAGCTGATACTTATTTTGTGTGAAGATTAAATGGATGAAACAAAATTATGAGAAAGATATTGGAACAACAAACATGAGATAGTGCAAAATCTCCTAAAGCTAGGTTCAGATCTAAAGGTCAAGTTAATATTCAAGAAAGACTAGTATAAATAATTAAATATCATAAGCAGATCTATAGAAAATAACATGAACAAAAAGTTTTCCTCTTAAATCACATATTGAACTGAAAATTAAAATACCAATCTGAACACACTGGAGTCATCTTATCTGCTAGGAGTGAATATGTTTTACTCACTTCACTTTAGCTTAGTCAATATAAAGCCTAATAAATTGAATGCTGGGCTAACTTGAGAATTATGAGCAAATACACAAAATCAGAGAAAAGGTGTATTATTCAAACCTGTGGTTCACCGGAAAAACGTTTTTTAGCGAGCAAATCAGACACCATGAATTTAGCCTTATCATCCTGAGGAGCATTGAAAGACATCATCAAATGAGGATGAACAGAGACTTTGTTCAAGAAGGGCCATTTTACCACTGCACCGTTCGTGAAACCTACACATACCGACGAAGAAGCCATTGACATAAACTTCATAATCATACCTTAATTAAGGTCAGTTTGATACAACACAATAGCCTTAATTATGGGGAAGGTAAAAAGAATAATGCAAAATTTCACCGAGTTTAAAGAGCATAGTACTAAATTATTTATCAAATTTTACAACTATGTATGTCTGTTCAGGAGCATCCATGTGGGTCTATCAATACCCAAATCAACAAAACTGGTATAGAAGTGAAGAATGATCATTTACCCCCCAAATATAGAAATTACATGAACAAAGCAGACACAACTAAATATAGAAACGAGAGGCACAACATGTCTAGCTCCAGTAGTGAAATTTATCACACGTGAACCCCCTAATAAATAAGCCTGCAACAGAAGTAAAGTTGTAGGAAAAGCTTTCATTGTCTAAAGAGGGAGAAAATAGAAACTAAATACGTACAAGATAACCTTATCAACCAAGCAAATTTAGTAACAGGTTCAACTATTGGACCCCCAAAAACAGAAAAAAATTGGACTCCCAAAAACAGAAACATGGAAAAGCAACCAAAATAAGAAAAGAAGCATTGAAGTGGAAAGCCATAGAGAATTAAAAAAAAAAAAAAATCAGAAACGTACCTGAATCTTTGTACCCGTTAATATCATTATTCATCTCTTCCTTGACCACAGGCAATGTTTCTTTTGAGCTCAGACCCAGAAAATCTCTCTCCATTTTCAGAGCAAAACACTGAAGAAATCCACAAACCAACAAGAACCCACCTCCAATTAGTACTCAAAAGTTCCTTTCCTTCTTTACAATTCACAAACAAAACTCAAGCAACCTCCCTTCCTTCCTTCCTCGCATTAACCAACAAAAGCAAGCACACCATAAAAATAATAATAATTATTATTATTATAAAGCTTGTCGTTACAACTGGGAAAAATAAAAAAATGGAATAAAATAAAATAACAAATCCAAAGGGGTATTTTATTTATTTCAATTAATGAGATCTTGACCACCAAGTTTCTTTTTCTGATTCTTAAAAAAATCAAAGGAACAATGATAAAATATCAAAGGTTGCAATATAACCGGTAGAATAACCGGATAGTCCGGTAAAGAACCACGTGCGCGTCTGTCACACCTTACCATAATGCTGGTCCCCACTTGTCGTCGGTGTCTGACAGTAATCCTTCGTACTGCAACCCTTATCAAAATTATGCACGTGTGTACGACACGCGGCTACTATTGCTGCTCATATTTCATCATTTTAAAAGGTTAAATTAATTTTAAAAAAAATTAAATATATTTTTAATTCCTATGTAATTAATAAATTTTGATTTTAATTTTTGAAAAAAAAAGTTTTTTTCTATCTTTAAAAAATTTAAATTATTATTTTTAATCTCCATGATTATTTTTAATTATTTTTTATTTATTAAAAAGTTAAATAATCATGTATTTAATATTTTTAAAAAAATTATAAATTTTTAAAATAAATATTATTTATCTAT